TCAGACAAGACTGTTGGGTTAATTCAGATGAATGTTACTATTTGGATGTGACCTTGAGAAACCCAACATTTGCCAGTATTTTCAGATCTAGCCAGTGTGGAAGAATTAAGGAGGCTTCTCTGACTTTGTAACACTGCTTTATACAATGCACTTGCTGCTGCCATCTCTGTAATTACACTTACATCTTCTGAGCTTTTTGGTTCCAACTCAAGAGGTTCTTCCACATTTTCTTGACAGGCATTCTTATTTGAAGACCACAATCTCTTGAATTTTGTAGCTCTGTAACTTGAATTGTCAAACCCACAGGTTTAAATTTGTGTTAGTACCCATGACCCATGATAGACCTTTCAGACATGAATACTTTCTTTCCTTCAATTAGTTTGGTTATAAGTCTAAACTAGGGAACTAGAGGGAGAGCTTAGTCAGCAAAGTGCTTGTTTTGCAAGTGTAAGGACCCAGAGCCTGTGCCTGAAAAAGCTGGGTGTAGTTGTGTCAGCTTGTAATGCCAATGCTGCATGGATGGTGACAGGATTCCTGGGGCTCACTGGCCAGGTAGCGTAGCCTAATTCATGAGACTCAGAGCAATGAGAGATCCTGTGTCAAAGAACAAAGTGGACACCTGAGGTTGTTGTCCTCTACCTTCCTCCCCCTTATGCACACATTTACACATGCATAAACACACATATGCATACCATATAATACATATATGCAAGTACACACAAATAAATAAGTAAATAAAGTAAGCTGGAGTTTTCTTTCCACACTGAGATTTTGGATAATTTCATTTTGTCACAGCCTTAGAGAAAACTATATATAAATTAACCTACTATGAAAAAAAATCATTGAATGGCAGGATTGAAAAGAATATTGGAAAAAGTGTGGTGTCTTGGCATCTTTTTATAGTTGTAAATATAACTGTAACTTTGCACAACCTGTTAGTAAGTCTGCTGTTTTGTAATCAGGTTAGCAAACTGTCTTCTAAAAAAAAAAATCTACATTTTTCAGTTGTTTTCGAACCATCTTTCTAAATATGACTTCATATGTGCTGCTAAGATCAAGCATATAAAAGTGATGTTTCTTTACATGTATATATTTTAAAAGTTCAAATCCACTACTTTTTCTCATAATAAAGTCCAATGGTAAGAATAGGTGATTTTCATTAAATGATACTTCAAAATTACAAGTCTGAGTGGCCGATGAGTTTGCATAGTATCCAGTAAAAATCATTTTTGTCTTTTGAACAGCAAACCTGAGTACAAGCAGTGAGGTAGTTTGTATAAACATGAGGGCGGTCTTGAAAAGCTCATGTGAGTTTTCACTTGAATGTGGTTGGCAGGTGAAAAGTTGCCACATAAAGAATGCCTTTCCCAAGCCGGACATTGGTGGCGCACGCCTTTAATCCCAGCACTCGGGAGGCAGAGGCAGGCGGATCTCTGTGAGTTCGAGACAAGCCTGGTCTACAAGAGCTAGTTCCAGGACAGCCTCCAAAGCCACAGAGAAACCCTGTCTCGAAAACAAACAAACAACAACAACAACAACAAAAAACAAAAAAGCAAAAAGAATGCCTTTCCCACCCAAACGAGTTCATCTGCATGTGGTCCAGCCGGCTAAAGATTTCACAGCACATGTGAAATGTGCATTTCAATTAGGGTTTAAAAAACAGACAGCATGCAGATTTTTTGAAGGAAACACCTTGGAATCTTGCATGTAACTGTGAAAGTTTGTGTAATGTCATAAAATACATTTTGGGAAAAATCTTGCTAAATTATTATTACAACCCTTAAGTATGGCAATCTACAGTTGCTACATTTAAAGTCTAGTGAAGTTCATGTTTTAATCCATAGCTGTTCATCTTGATCTGTCTGTTGTCTGGAGCACAGTGCCAAAGTAGTCCTTAGAAGGGTCTGCTTCCCAGGGAGTCTCTGCAAGAGATTCAGCTGGAGCAGATTGCACCTCATCTACCGCAGAGTCAACGAATGTACTGATCACCAATGTAGTTTGTATAAACTACATTGTTAGAAGAAGTAAAGATGACCCTAGGGACTCAGGGCCATGTGAGAAATGATTTTTTTGCCATGTCAGTTCGGGAAAAGCCAAATGAACTTGAGCCATTTTGGTCAACTGTCTTTGTAAACTTTGAAAGAGTGACTCTATTATATCTTGATCTGATATCAACACAGCTCCAAACTGTCATGGGAAAAATGTAAATTGGATTTGCATGTTCTCTGAGAAGGCAAGAAAAATGTAAAGGCTTTTGAAGAATGTTAACAGAAAATGGTTAAATTGATTCCAATAGTTATGGGGTTCACTTCAGTTTCCTGGAATATTGACTCTGTGGAATATTAAATTATTGGAGGATGCTATACAGATCAATATACACCTTCCTGCCATGTGTTTCACTGCACAAGGTTGCAAAATACTTAATATTTACTTCATAAGTGCTAATACACACTGAATAGGTTCTAGAGAGGTTTTTTTTTTTTTTTTTTTTTTTTTTTTTTTTTTTTTTTGTGCTAACATAGGATCCCTCCATTAATGTTCTCCCAGGAGGCTAGAGACAGGGATATAAAAAGAACCTTCTGCAAGGAAAGTGGCATTTAAAGCCACAAGTCATGGAAAGAGTTGGAAAAACCACAGAAGGCTACATAGGTGAACATCCACAAAGAAGGGGCCAGGGAGCCAGGAAGAAGGAACATGTTCTTCAAGGAACCTATCTTTATGGCTTTTGTGCTGATGGAGCCATATTAGCTAGATGTATCCAGTGTGTTTCAGCTGAGTGTTTGTGCTATGAGTGGAGAGGACCACATCCCTGAGCCAGTGTTTGTTTACCTACATGAGGGGAGGAAATGCCATTTCCCCACTACCTGAAGGTCTCGTTGAAAAGCAAACTTCATATTTGTCTAAATGTGACAATATGTATCTATATCACACGCCAGGCCAACCTTTCCTGTGGCCCACCTTGAGCTCTTAGGCTTGGCTGTTTTCTCTACTCTCCCTTCCTCCATTTCCTCTGCCTGGAATATTTATCATGTTTATCTTTAATTGACACATAATAATTATATATATTATATATATAATAATTATATATATGGGTACAAAATGGCCTTTCCATACATGTGTACAATGTATAACAATCAGTTCAGGGTCATTGGTGTATCTGTCATACTACACAAATCTATCCCTTCTTTGTGTTGGGAACAGCCCAAGTCCTCTCTACCAGTTATTTTGAGATAGCTAATTAATTGTTGTCAATCAGAGTCACTCTACAGTGCTGGAGACCATTAGAAGTCAGTCTACCTGATTGTATCCCCACACTCATTGTCCATTCTCTCCACCTCCCCTATGCAAATATTTACTGAGCTCACATTGTGAGCCAGGCACCAGTAGGATTGGAGGTCATGCCAGGAATGTGCTCTGACAAGGGATAGGACAGCCAGTTCTTGCTGCCACATAACTTTTGTCAGAGCCAGTAGGGAGGGGGAGGCTAGTCAGAAAACATGAATGAGCATATAAAGCACTATAACAAGGGGAGGAAAGTGCAACTGGAGCCTGTTCTTAACCCAACTTGGGAACTAGGAATGCTTCCCGGAGAGGGTGACATTATAGAAAGACCTGGGAGATCATCACAGAAAATGGAGTGGGAAGGAGGTGGATGCTCCAGGCAAGAGGAATAGCATTACCAACAGTAGATGGGAACAAGAAGGGTGAACTCTGAGGACGGAAGTGGTCCCCTTGGCCATGGCATGGAGTGAATGAGAGCTCTGGAGAGGGTTGGACACGGGGATCTTAGAGGGCAGGAGACTGGGCTTTATTCTAAGATCAGCGGGATACTACCACACCAGTGAAAGATTTTACTTGACAATTAATTAGCCAGATTGGCATTTGGAACAATTATTGCAGCAATTCAGATAGGGAGGGCAAGACCAGCAAGCATTGTATGGTCTGTGTGAGTGTGTGTGTGTGTGTGTGTGTGTGTGTATGTGTGTGTGGTGTATATGTATGTATCAGATAGATATGTCAATTGGTTAACATATGAGATGTTAAAGTTACCCCTAGATACCCAACTTATTCATTTCAGTCCCAATAAAAATGGGAAAACAGAAAACAGAAGAGGCATTTGTTTTAGGGATGGGAGGGGTGATGAACAACCCAGCCACAGGCTGACTGAGTTTGTGGTAGATGTGGGATGTTCAAAGGGAAATGCCACTGAATCTTAAAACTGGGTTGAAAAGAAACCAATAAGTTGCATGTTCTAAAAGCTGCAGGAACAGGTAAGATCTCATAGGTGGTAGTGTTGACTGAGCAGAGGACAGCCCATGTGAGGTGTCTGAAGTGGGGTACATTCAAGAAGATCTCACAGGACAGAGAGAAGGAGGAACGAGGGGAAGAAGCAGCCAGGTTGGGACAGGGTGGGGTCTTGGAAACCTAGAAAGAGCACATTTCAAAATAGAGGGATGGCCAAGCAAGAGGACTAAAAGTTACTTACTAGGTATTTCCACAGGAAGTCAATAAGACTTTGGTGTGATAAGCTTCTGGAAATAGAGTTTAAGCCTGGTGTAGAGTTGAGATGAGAGTTGGAAAGCAGATGAACAATGACAATGAGGCGAAGCCACGTTTAAAGATTTGGCTTAAAGCTAGAAAGATGGTCCACATACTAGAGTAATGGGTGGGATGAAGGCAGGCACAATAAAAGATGGAAGACTTTCAAGCATGATCCAGTGCTTGGTAAAAAGATCTAACAGAACAGGTTCTGAGGTTTAAGTTTTGGGAGAGAGAGAGAGAGAGAGAGAGAGAGAGAGAGAGAGAGAGAGAGAGAGAGAGAAACAGTGAGAGGGGGGTCATGAGTAAGGATGGGATCCAAAATAATGACAGAAATGACCTTAGCCCAGGGTACCACCCCTTTTCTGGTGTGGCAGAAGGGAAGGATGGAATAATTGGTTTTAAAGCATTGCTCTATAGCGTTTGTTTACATTGTGTTCTTTTAAAATGTTTCTTCACAGACACTACCCAAAGCAGTCCTTCACCACGGTAGCGGATACACCTGAAAACCTTCGCCTGAAGCAACAAAGTGAACTGCAAAGCCAGGTAACATGCAGGACCTCTGCTTCAGGATGCCAATACCTTAAGGATCCTTAAGCCATTCTTCTGAGGATGTTGTCATTGTATAGTTCATGCTGACCACCAGCCAGTATGGAGACTGGCAGCAGGCCTGTCTGGACACTCGGGGGGGGGGGGGGGCTGAAAATCAGATTTC